GAGCAACAGAACCCTTCCATGACAGACATGGAAAAATACTACAAAAAATAGTACCTACAGTCTGAGAGAAGCACTGACACCTTGAACACAAAATTATAAGTGTATGATGGCTTAATATGGAAAACTCTAAATGATCAGGAATTATATTATTGCACAACCCATGAGGAACTCCTTGCAGGGATAAAATCTAGAATAGTAGTAGCATTATAGGGGGAAAAAAAAAGACTTTAAAGGGATCTTAAGAAAACATCTAGTGTGGCCCTTTGCCCCATAGCAATGCTACAGTAGCTACAGAAAAAAAATGTTCCAAGCGCGTTCTCACCACTATAATGTGGCTGATAATTTGTTCTGAGGATAAACCATGTATCACGGGTAGCAGCACTTTAGATATGAGGGCTGTGAACAGCAGCTTGTAAGCCATTTGGGGAAACTGCAGTATGATGCTTCATTCATTCTGTTATAACCGCAAGAATACAAAAGTGACTTACTGCATTGGGGACCAGTAGACACATCCTACTGTTCAATTAAAGGCAGCTTAAGAGAAAATCTGTAGGAGAGGAAAGAGAACATCACTCGGGAGACAAGGACAGGGCTAAGAACGGTTTAGGCCACTGATGCACAAGTGCCCTGAAATAAAAAGCACATGCTGAATAGCTTATATAACTTGTGGCCTGAAAATTATTTCTTTTCTCCCCACTGCTCATGCATCATATTAGTTACCACTTGGTAGGTCATGGGTAGAGCAGAGAAAAGGGTGTTAATGATGTAAGGAGAAATTTCTGAAAGCTATTTAGCTCAGCATCTTCATTCAGTATAAATGTAAGAAAGGCATTAAGTTTCTTTATAGATTAAAGTAGGTGGAACAATAGAAATTGTACATCCTTACAAAGAGAAGTGGACCTAAGTGATCAAAGAGATTTAATGAGCAGCCGAATTGCATATGATAGAGCAGTGGATCTGAAAGAGAAACAGCAGCTAAAATATTCAGTCTTCAAAAAATATCTGGAGGTAATGTTAGAATCAATCAGGGAAACTGGAAGCCAAAGATCAAAGTAGGGTAGCTAGGGGGATTTGAAAGTACAACAGAGATGGCTAGAGATATGAGGAAGTTGGGCACGTGTAGGGCAATTTGCAGGGAGCAGAGCCCCAGATCATGAAGAACATCCTATGTTATTGGGAGGTAAGAAGAGCTACAAAGGTCTAATGCCACCTTGGTGGCATTATTCATTTGACATCTTTTTCTGTATTTACACTCATAGGATAGGAAAAGCTTTGGAAGAACTAGATTGAAGATAACAGAATTGTGGGGCACAAAATGTAGAGATAATAGATTTGGACAGATGTAACTGTAATGTTGTCAGCTGCAGCTGTTCTGTACCAAGGACTTCAAGACTTGCTGTTTATTGCTCAAGCCAAAGCCCCTGGAGACAAGTGCTTAGAGGCAAATATTGGCCTTCACTTTTTAAAGAAGATTCTGAGAAAATCTTGTTCTCATGACCTGACTGTACACTAACAGTTAAAAATCCACAAGACAAATACAAATAGCCTGCAACTATTTATTTTAAACCTTAGATCTTCAAGATTAAGTCTTTGCAGACCTGAGCCATGCATTTGACAAAGAAATGATGTAATTGAGAGCAAAAATCACCAGTGGGATCTTTTGTGAAATATGACTCTGAAAGGAAGGAACGAAATGTTTTGTTATTTGGGCTGCATTTCTGGGGATCCAACCAGGATTTTGTCTGTGTTTTTTTAAATGGCTGGACTTTCTGCTTTTATTTTCCAACTGGAATAAAGATATTCTGTAATCTGGAAAAAAAAAAATCCGAGTGTAACAATTTTTAATATGAGAATCAAAAGGAGAGTGAGCTATATGGAAATATTTGCAAAACTGTGTACTAGAAATAAAACCAAGATGGGTGAAAACGTTGTAGTTTTCTGTAAACTACAATCCCAGGTAGTTTAGTTTCTGGTTCTACTATTTTACATTCTGTTGCTTTTACTTTGCTCTCATACATTTGCTCGAAGGACTTTCTGCTGCAAAAGGAGAATTATACACGCTTTCTCAGTTCCAGATGGCTAGTAATTGATGCACCTGCAAGTCTTTGCCGTGGCTAAACTGACCAATACTTACTCACATCTAGTTACCAGGAAATAATATTTTCTAGTTCTCTGTTGATAAAGGGTCAGGGAAAGAACAAAAAAAAGAGAAAATAACTTATATCACTACTACTACCAACATGATGACAGAAGCAAGACAGAAAGTTTTACTTTCTACTGTTAAAAAAGAAGACCTTACAGTTCTCTCTTTTTTTTTTTTAATCAAAAGAGAAAGGGGGAAGATACTGATTTTTGCCCTAAAACAGTGCAAAGCAAATACTCAGCTTCAAGCAGTGATGACATAAATTTTTGAATTCTAGTCCACTATTTTAGTCTGTTGCAATCACAAAAAAAGGCAGCCATATTCTGCCTGTCAGCCAGAATGTTTCTTTTGTATATCAGCTTCCACAGCCAGTTTAATTGACTGCTGTTTTTATATTATAGCTATAGGGTAAACAGTAATCAGCTCAAGAATTTTAGTGTGTTTTTGCTAGCCCAGCTGAAAAGAAGTGTTTGAGTATCCAGTTAAGCCAGCAAGTAGAGAATTATATAATAACTTCCACGTGAAAAGAGTTTTAATTAGGCATCCTGGAAAAAAAAAAGGCAGATAAAGATATGTACTAAATGGGCTAACTCACTACATAATGTAGGATTCGGTGTTGCTCAGCTTGCTTACAAAACCTAGAAATCCATATATATTTTATTTCATTATTTTGTATTACATTACCCTTTTCTGCCTGGCGTGGCTTTTAGTTCTGTTGATCCCTGGGTTATATCTGCGAGTACTCTTTTTCACACATTGGAAATGTGCAGCCTTAATGAAAGCTGAGATCTCCTGTCACGGAAGCAAGATATTTCAGAACAACAGCTATCAAAAAGCACAATGAAATCCCAACAGCCGGCAAAACTAGCACTTGCAAGTAACTAAGAACAAAATGTGGCCTGCAAAATTAGCTGTTAAAGAAGTGAGACTTGGAAAAAGGCATAGATTTGACTTTCACATGCTAACATGTTTACAGTGTTGTCAATTAAAGCCACATTTTACTGCATTGAGAAAAAAATACAAAAAAAATGTGCAAAAGGGTGATGGAGGCATATAAAAACACCGCTTATCTTCAGGTTTTGGCAAGGTATCAGGTGCTACAGTAGATTCTGAAATAATGCTGCGGTAGCTCACAATTGTAATTGTTCCCATTCTTGTTCATGAGCAGTGTCCTCGGTTTATGCTGTAACTGCAGTGGGGCAAAACTTAGCAAGAAGTATCAGTGATTTGTGGAAATATCTGGCGGGCTGGCTTAGATCACAGAGAACAGGAGCACAAGCAACCAAAATTATTGACCCACACCTCCCTAACCCAAACTATTTATTAGTCAGCTGTTGGCCAAAACATAAAGTTGATAAAGTTTGGGGATTTTTTTTTTTTTTGGATGGAGAAATTTTTTCTAGGAAAGGCTCTTTTTCAAGAAAAGTTTACTTCATTGAAAATTCAGCTGACAAAAACACTTTGATAGGACTTTCTCCAAAGCTGTCAGTAAATCTTGACTACGGATCACTAGAGTTTAACTGATTGCGAATAACCCCGCTGACAGGGTATCAGTCAGCGACTGCTCAGGACCCTGGTCAGAATTTAACACTAGGAAACGGAGGTGATTCTTCAGGCGCTGACCCAATGTGATCTTTGTTAGTTTTATACACACACCTGCAGTTTTTATAGCTAAATCTTCCTCCTTCCCTGCGTTCAGTGTTCTGCCAGTGCTTTGTACGCAGAGCCAATTCCTAAGTGACGCAAAAGAAAAAGGGTGCAGATGGAGCTGACTTTTGCTTACTCGGGGACAGCTGCGGTAGGTGAAACTAATTAGACACCCGTGTCATTAAGTATATATACCTAGTGCATGTACCTAGTGACTGCCGAGTGCCACCTGAATGACACACGCAGAGAGCCGCTGACCCTGGTGCCTCCCTAGGAGGGTCGAGCGGGCAGCGCCGCGGCCGCCCGGAGCTGCGGGCGGACACGGGACGCCCCTTGCCCGGCGGCTCCGGGGCGGGGAGAGGACACGGGGCCGGCACCTCCTGTCGCCTC